GAATGTCACCAACAGTTATTGCTGGCACATTTTTGTGAATTTTCTCGCAAGGTTCAATGTCTGGCTTCTCTTTACTCAGCCATTTTCCTTTATACACTCTTTCAAATGACTCGAGGAAATCTTCTTTTTCCCATGGCCTGAATCTGCGTGCTCGGGGCCTTTTCTTTGTAACTCCTGGGTGTCTATAAATTGTCAAAGGATTGCTCGTCTTTGGGGAACCCTCTGCGTCACCATTAGAACTTGTGTTGCTTTTTTGTTTCACCTTTATACGTATCAGGTCAACTGCTTTTGTATTTTGTTCATGCAAAAATGATACCAATATTGGTCCAGCCACACCAAATGGTTGTAGAGATATTTCTCTCCTGAGGGCGTCCCTCAATTAATTACTTGACCATACAGCTGCAATGATCCAAGAAGACACGGTCAGAACGTGTCCTGCGAGACAGATTCCTATCGCAATAAAGTTGTTATGAATTCCTCTAATTTATATACAACACCAACAAACAACCTGAAAGTAATTTTGAAAAATTAGGTACAGAAATGATACAATATTTCAGTATTTGAAAGTTGTCTAGGAAATACAAAATGAAATGTTTGCAACTGTACTATCTGCCTTATCATTACATGCCAATAACTTGCATGATTTGCACTGGCTTGACAGTGCAAATGTCATTTAGTCATTCTTTGTCACAATTAACGGATTGCTTGCAATGAACAATATTAATGCAGAAATCTGAAAATAAAAGCAAAATATGTTCTTAATGCTGTAGTGTCCGAATGTACACATATTGCAGTTTTATCTATTTTATATTAGAAGAATTCTTCATTTTTGTAAGGTAATTCAAGCTTGTGATACACTGATACTGTAACATCCTTTACATCGTGTGAGCGGGAGATTTACCACCACTTGCGACTAATTTATTGAAGTATTATGCAAGAATCTTACACCAAGTCTTTATTACGTTGTACATTCGGACCAATATTCAGGTGAGCTAAATGATAACAAGTGTTTGTACTGCTCTTAGATTGTTTTTCCTTTTAATGATAAATATATGAAAAATATTATTTTGGTTAATGAAATTCTGTTGCTTACTATGTCAATTTGTATTGTTGTCTCACTTTTTTCTTGAAGTGATTTCTGAATCTTGTTGGTTGAAATGACAATTTCTTCTTACTTTTAAAATGGACTAAAAATCTTATTAACCATACCTGAGATTCATACTCGATTGAGTTAGCGAAAGATACAAAGTTGATACAAACAAATAGCTCTGCTTTCATTCGTCAGATTTTCGATATTTTCTCAGTATTCTTCGCATATTATATCCTATAGGAGTCAGTGGCTCTCAAACTTTTTAATTACCATTTTCTGGCGAATCCTATCCAAATATATGCACAGAGATTATATTTTTATTACTGATTGTGGAATGATGTTAAATTTCCCCTCACCGATGTGTTATATCTCTCAGAGTTTTCTCTTTTCGTATCGCCTGTAAATTCGAAAATACCTAAATTTGTAGTGTGTGTGTATTTGATGGTTGTCAATCTTTTCGAGTATCCATGCTGCTCTTATTGCTAAATTCCTGCTTAACAAATTTCCTAACATATCTATCTTCGTTTGGCACTAAAGAATGGGCATAGGGCGTTTCAGAATTTTCTGGAGCGCGATAGGACCCCATCGACAAGTCCTAACGAGTGGTTAAATCGACATCTCCTGGGTCCACATGGAAGCTCGGTAGAATATTCAGCCAAATTTCATTGGAAAGCGATTTTATATACAGAAAATTAGTTTTAATTTGTTGCAATGAGCAATGTTGACTAACTTGTAATTTTTTTGCAAAAGGAAATAAATATTTTTGCATAGAAAAATGATTTTGTTTTTTTTGTTCGAATTTGAAAGCATCCAATCTATATCGAGTCGGGTTGTAATTAAATTGCATCTTTCTTAGCCAGTTGTATTCGCGTTATACAGCTGTTATTGAACAGAGTTTAATTAGGCATTAAGCAAAAAAGCAGGTTTTCTGGGCACCAAAGAAAGGGAGTCACTACAGAGATTTTTGTAGACCACCTACAGTTGAATCCCAAAGAATGCATTTATTTTAGTAGCATAGAAAAGAGATTAACTACAGCATACTGTCGTACTTTGCTTTGATTCGCTAATTAATTTTCATACTCCGATGAAAGATGGTGGGTGACATCGACGTATTTTCCGAATGAATATAAAGATACATCGCACTCGTAATCTAATGCGTTAAATCTTTAGTGCATGCAGTTGAATCTATTAGAGCATAGGTTCTCAAAGTGCTCCGTACGGAGCCCCAGGGCTCCGCGAGAGGAACCCAAGGGCTCCGCGAGCTATTCGATTACTTTTTAAAATACTGGCTAATTTTGTAACTGTTCAAAGAAGCAAGAACAGCTTTGATAAAATTTGACAATAATATAGCCTTGAAATATGGTAAAGATGCGGAATTAAAAATGACGTTATTTATGAGCTGGAGCGCAGTCAGGTTTCTTGAAAGGGTTCAAAATTGAAATCGGAAATTTCCGCGCAACATCATTTAGCAATTAGAAAAAAACGGATAACGAGATTTCTGTTGCGTAAAATATTCATTGCATGACGATGCGAGTATTTAAAGTGTCTTGTCGTAATAATTTAATTCTGCTCAACTTTACTCACGTTTCATTCGAAATCACTATTAGGATTGCTAAAAGGAAAGAATACTATTCTAAAATAACATAAAATACGTGATAAACTGCCAACTATGAATAAATTGGAGTTGTATTTTTGCGATTTGTCAAACTTGATTTGTTTTTTCGCACTCGAGATTATTTTTAAGCAAGATAAGATCGCTGTTTGAAAAATCACAAGATCTGGGCAAAATACGAATGATTGAAATTTATTTTATTGCATGCGGCTCCGTTGGTAGTTTCAGAATGAAAAAAGTTACACCATGCGTACAATTGACTGTGTTTCAATTTCGCAGTTACTACGATGAATAACCGATAAAAAACTAACAAAACATCAAATTTTGTGATTTACAATGCCTATAAAAGCATTTTTAATCTGACGTGAGTCTGCTGAAACTAAACTTATAGTGTGATTTTCCATTTCAAGTTTTAATATTTTAGAATGCAGTTTTTCAATCAAGAAATTTGAGCTGCGGATTTACCTCTTTAATAATTATTATCTTTAGCATTTCGTCGCAGATGACTATAATACGGTAACATGTTTTTCACATTGAACTCATAATTCCCCACGAGAACAAATAAGCAATTATCGTCGTCATTGTAGAACAATACATGTATATATAATTATGCCGAAGGAAATTTTTGATTTAGGGAGAATAAACACCGACGTAAAGATGTTTAAAAACACGCCATGCTGACGAAAACAATCGGCGATTGTAACAAAATGCAATCGCGCACATTATTAGTGGCCTTTCAAGTCCTCCGAAAATGTCAATAAGTAAAAGATTCGACCCCCCAATTTATTAATATGTTTGTCAAGTGTCAAATTTACAGCTTTAGTATATTTAATTTATTTTTGAAATTGACATTTATATATGACTTGTATTAACCCTATTAAAAAGGTTTAGCATTTAAGTTAGGTAAAGTACGTTTAACTTACTCAGGAATATTAATCGGAAAGTAACAATTTTAACATTTATTTTGGGGCTCCGTGAATGATAGTCAACTCTTCAAGGGCTCCGCAACACCAAAAGTTTGAGAACCCCTGTATTAGAGCACACCGCCGCACTAATTTCAACATTTTTCCAAAGATGTTTCAGAAATTTGGAAACTGTGAACCAGAGACAAGACGGTCAGTTTGTACAAGAGATAGAATGAATAAAATAGATGAACCAAATGAGCTTTGATCATATAAATTTAGAATTGTACGAATATTAGATTCTTGATTTTGGGAAATTTTGAAATTGTTGATTTTGAGAATTTAATTTGGCACGAACCAAGTAGAGCCTTTGTTGAATTTAATGAATAAAATCACCTCAATGGTAATGTTGTTGTTTGAGAATTGCGAAATTTCACGTTTTTTCGCTTGTGCGATTTTAGTAGGATATAGGATATGACGAAGTAGGATATTTTCAGTTGCGGATTGCAATGCAAAATTTTGTTCTGAAAAACTCAATTCCGAAATTATTTACGCATTATTTTTTGTTAATAATTTTGAACTTTTCGCTTGGTCACACACAAAGAATATCGTGCAACTAACTGCGCAGATCTCCTCCATACGCCCCATCACTTTGATACGCCCCAGCAATACAATTGTTGGACACGTAGTGGACATAGCGATCGTTTCAATATTATGTTGTTGTTGTTGTTCTTTGACACGTTTTTAAAAAGTCGCTTTTCTTTTTGATAACCGGACCAATTGCTTTGAAATTTTCAGTGGTTAAAGATTAAAATTTTTTTCCGAAGGCTATTACTTTTTTTTTGCTATGACGTCATCAAAATTATTGCCATTAGGTGGCGCTACGTGTCCATATATTTGAGCATAGCTCTCTTGTTTTGTTTAAGCCTCTTTACACATCTTGGGAAAGGTTTATTTATTCACATATATAAGTTATGCTTTACTTAAAACAAATTGACAATTTTCTATGGAGTCTCCATAAGTTATCGGCCACTAACTCCTGAATAAATACGACCAGTGAGGAAATGGGAATGTGTGTTCTCAAGCATATTGTTCGCCGATTCAATCAAAACCGAAAAAAAAATTTCATAGTTCTGCCATGTGGAGGAAAATCGATGAAAAGTACCTACCATATGGCGAGGTATGACAGACGAATTGCAGTTTGGTCGGAAATAGACAGCCAGCTAGTCGCATCGACTTTCTTCAAGAAGAGGTACTCGAACGCAATTTGCGTCATTCCACATTTGTGACGCATCAAAATTTATATATATATAACTATAGAGGCAATGGATAGATGGAGCTTATCAGCTCCAATGATTGTTCAACACATTACCTCATTCTAATATAAGACAATTCAAACATTGATATTTTTTTTATTAAAGACTTCTACACAGAAGATCCTTTTTATAAGCATAAAAGGCAGTAACAAAAATAAGATTTTAGATAGCATTGAAATTATCTCAATTAAAATGATATATGAATGTAAACAAACAAATTAGAAGCATTGCAAAAATTGAAGCATTCAAAACAGTGGAAACTCGTCAAATCCACTTTGACTGCACAGGAATTGTATCAGACAATAAGAAAGTGTCATATAATCTTTGTACTACATATATCATCTCTATATTATTCCACTGATATGCCAACTATTTAGAATTAGTCCGGAAATGCCCCCTTGCACATTTTTAAATAATTTTCATAAATCATACAAATAAGCCCAAAAGATTTAAAACCACTCAAAAATTCATGCAATTGTTAAGATGTCAAGATTCTGTAGCTTAACGAACAAATTCTATAAAATTTGAAGCCAAAATGAATCACAGAAAAGAAAATTTAAAAAGGATAGTTAGTTGACTTGAGTTGAGAACACAATTTAAATAAATAAAGTTCACTATTTTTCGTTTTCTAATACTGTTCATAATACTATTTGTCTTGTTACATTTTATTGCGAAGTGACTTTCTGTTCTGATAACGTGCTTCACCAGCCCTGAAACGTTCCTCTTCCGCAGGTGTTTTACGAATAAGAGACGGTATAGGTAGTGGCCTATGATTTGCATCTAAAGAAACAAAAGTAAAAAATGCACTGCATGCTCTGTACCATTGAACCTGAGTAGAAGCATCTACTAAACGAACTTGCTCAACATCAACAACTACTTCAATTTCAATTGATTTGTTGCTTGTGAATATCGGTCTAGATTTGAGGTGCATTACGCATCCTTTGCCAATAGGGCGATGGAAATTTGTAGCATCCATGGAAGCTGTCACAACATTTGTATGACAGTGTCTAGCGGCACAAATTCCTGCCGCTTCATCCATCATTTTCATAGTAGTACCTCCTGTTACTTTGCCATGTATTCCGCAATCATTTACATTAACTAGATGTATAAGAGACGACTGTGCATGAGCAACTGTACCAGCTTCTGCCAGCTCTGGTTGAACAGCAGGTGTAGAAAAATCTGTGTGTAAGTTTACATCATTCACAGTGGCGCGTTCTTCTTTTTGTTTTTGATAACGCATTAAAGCAGCTTCTTTCATTGCTTCTGATATATATTGAAGCTCAGGCACACCCCCTTGATGTATAGTGTTTGAGCCTGTCATTGGCACATACCATAATGTTGCTTTATTCGTTAGTCGCTTTGTATTCTTCATCACATTTTCCCCCCAAACCGACATCTGTACTTCAAGAGAATGCTTCGATGTGAAAGTTACTTCACCATGAAGATGTGCAACTTCTCCTACGTACATAGGTAAACAAAAATCTGTTCGTTCAACCCTGGCAAGGACACAAAGTACACCAGTGTCATCCTTATCATTATCCTGATTACAGAATCTTGTACTGGCAATCATTCCAGCTTCCTCAATCATTTTTAGTATTGTACCACCATGGACATTTCCAGAAATATTTGCATCACCAGGTTGCATGAAGCGACATAGTTGAATCGGAGTAGGAATATGTGGAACTGATGAGTGTGCCATGCTTCTTTTTCCTATAGTAAAGTTAATATATTAATAAAAATAAATTAGCTAGATCTGAAATATTTAGTAAATTTGTACATGTATATCACAACCAATATTTCGGTTATCAAGGTATGGGAGTTGCAACTATGGCTCTGAATAACTTTCACTGAGAACCAAGAATATGGCTGAAAAAGAATTTATTGAAGCCAGAAAAATTCGCTATTTTAGACTACAAAGAGATTAAAACGTTCTAGAGATTATGTTCTACTAGACTGACTGACTGCAATGAACAATTCCAGTGAGTGCTGAAATGACAGTTTGAAATTGATAAATGAATCAGGCCAACTCTAGTCTGCCATTTAACATTGTCAAATAATTTTATCAGGGCAGATTATTCTAAAAACTTCAATCACTTGTGTGACCATGATTGTATAAGTCTAGTAATACAGTAATATTTATTCGACCAATTACGGTATGAAGAGATGGAACTTCTATTTCAACGTAAAACTGCTATTTCTTGTTTGTAGGACAGGCAGTGGTCAAATAGTACGGTAACAAAAATTTAAAATGAAGCAGTACGACACCGTTAGCAAATGCAACTATCACCTAATCGTACCTTTTGATGGTGGACTGGAAAATGAAGATAGAATTTTCCTGGAATATACCGGTAGACGGCCCCGAGGCAAAAACATAAACGACTTTAGGGCTGTTTGTGTCATTGTAGTAAAGAAGCAGCAACTGTCTTTTCTGTGTGTAGCCTATCGTTTCATTTTTGCGAACGAATTGAAATAACTCAATAAATCTAGCCTATCATTCATTCCTTCCCTCCAGTCTCAACCTAAAATGCTATGTCACAACATGACACAGGCCAATTTGCTATTCCCAAAGGCCACGCGAATACAAACATTGCGCAACAAACTCATGAATCGTATTACACGGATTGCGGCCACCGGTTCAATTGTACAGGTACCGTACATGTCTTAACATTACCAGTTTCCACATTACTTATAAAACAAAAATATAACTAAACAAATACCGGTACGGATGTCTTAACATTACCATTGCGCTGGCCCCAAATATTCTGAGGCCTGGCCCCAATTTATCTGTGGCCTGGCCCCAATTTGTCCGTGGCCTGGCCCCATTTTCTCCGTGGCCTGGCCCCTTTTGTGTGGCCTGGCTCCAAAGCCACAAAAAAGTTATCACCCCTGTTGGAGACACAGAGAAGTGCGGCGCATAAGTCTATTTCAACTCCATCAGTAGTCAGTACCCGGTACCGTATAGCAGTATATATTTACGGTATAACAGATGCTAAAATAATTGGTAACCAATAAATAAAAACTGAGTATAAAATCAGGCATTTTTGAATCCTGGCTGCTAATCAATGTAAAGTATGTCCAATCTATTTTTAATTGCACCAAAATAAATTATACAGTCTGAGATTTCATCGCAACAGGGAGATGCCGTGATCAAAATGACAAGACACTTAAAATGCTCTATCGGCCGTGAATCGAATACTTTACATCAGCGGTTCCCTAACTATGGGTCGCGACCCACTGGTGGGTCGCAAAAGGAATCTTAGTGGGTCGTAAAAAGATGTAGAAAGCTTTAATTAATTGTACTGGTGATTAGGATCGGTGGCGACTCGAATACGTAAATCTTCAAAAAACAAAAGAAATTAAATTGAATTTAAATTCTAATCTGTGAAAGTTTCCTTTTTACGATCTTCTCGAAGAAACAAAAATTTGTTACACAAAGAATGACCGTGTGGATTTTTTACGCATAGCAGTTTTGTACACTGTACAGCACTTCTTACCGTGTTTCCCCGATATTTAGAAAGAATTTAGATTTATTTTCTTTTGAAGAATAACACTATGTTTTTCCTGGAAGAGGTCTTTTGTGTTAATTTATCAAAAATAAAATTACATTGTAGAAAATCACAAGATTTGTTACTAAACATTATACAAAAACCGACATCCATTGTTTTGTATTTCCTATACAGAAATCAAGTGACAAAAATCATAATTGTGATATCACACAATCTTGAATAGTGGTGTGATCTTCACCTTACCTCAGGCCAATGAACCTTTCCTCGACCACACATTTTAAATTTATTTTAAGGGTAGGGTTTAATTAAAATCATTTTGAAAATTCAAATTATTATCTTATTTTCAGGCCAGGTCCTATTTTCGAGGAAATACGGTAGTTTTGCGGTGATTAGTCATTGCTGTGCTCTGTGTTATGTCATAAAAAAACAAAAGAAAATTAAATTAAAGTTAAGTGGGTCGCCATAAGCTGTGGTAATAAATAGTGGGTCCCAACTCTAAAAAGTTTGGGAACTACTGCTTTACTTAACAGGAAAATCATTAGCCTTCGAAGAAGTGGGCTTAGGCCGCGAGACGAGGCCGTTTATCATTCAGTTTCGTAGCGCACATAAGGGGACTACTCGGAAATAATTTTAAAATGTTCCTCAGAAAATCAGTAACAAATAATGACTGTGTTCCCATTTCCAAAAGTTGCACGTTTCACGGAAAAGACGCTTTAACTACAAGAAATATGTGTTACCATCTGTCCTATATTGTCTGCTTTTCCGTTATCATGGGCCAATGAACGCAGACTTCTGCATGACGTAACAATTGAAATTGGTCAGATGTAGGTGGTTCTCCGTGATCGGATGAATATCAGATGTACTGCTCGCTTTTCCGTTGAATTGAGTCGACTTTCCATAGTTTTTTTCAGTTATTATTAGTTGAGTTATTCTGAGAAGGTTTTAAAAAGTATAAGTAAGCTATTAAACACTTGTATATCCTTACCATAGATAGCAATTTTAGTTGAGCATCAGCTCATAAAACGCTGTTAAATAGGTGCGGTACGCTAACTCCCAAGGTAGGCTAGATTTAGAATATTATGTCACAAACAACGATATTTTCTTGCTTGTATAAAAGATTTATAAATATTATTATTAATTTAATGACGATTCATGACTATTCAGCAGCCTTATATTACTATATAGGCTACGGCATGTTTGATTCAGAAAATAATATCTGTTTATCTGAAGGAGGGGAAAATAATCAATTTTACTTATGTCAGTTGGTCTAAATTTATAGAGTCGACAAGAACCTGAGAAGCAATGATAAGACCGACAGTTGATGTTTTAAAATATAGTTAATAGGGCATTTCAGACTGTATATCGAGATCTAGTGTAAATATAGTCTAGTATGCAAACACTGCAGGACTCTAGTACATCAGATGAAATTCGTTATGTATGATAAGTAGTAGTTAGTATTTAGTGGTATTTTTACACTCATGCTGTTTTCAATATGATTTTATTTTTCCTTTCAGATACTGTACTACAAAAGAAAACGGCAATGTTCCACCAACCCAACCTGACGCATGCTCTAACCCAGGGTGGTCCAAACCCAGGCCCGCCGCTCCATTATCTGTGGCCCGCGCCGCATTCGAAAAGTAATCAAAATATCGTATTATAAATTGCTTCTCATGGAATTAATCAGGAAAATCGTTTTACATATTGTTGTTATATCACTACTGTGACTGAATTGACTAGCTGAAGCAACTAGCGAAGATGTGATGGGCACTGGGCAGTCTAAATTGTTACCTGGAATTCTATCGTTTTGGTCGGAAATATATGCTAACAATATAGACATGATAGAAAACTGAAAATTGGATGCGGATTCCATTAGCCTAGGTTGGCAATGCCTGATAACTATGTGCCTGGAATTGCCTGGGCCTGTGTTTGATTTTCCACATTCCTTTTGAGCTCCTCACTTCTTTCCGGCTTCGCATTTCTTAGCCTTAGACCTCATAATGAATAAGGTTGATGCACTACTTCGCACTCCGTTTTCGCAGCTGCCGCTGGAACAAAAATTAGAGGTACAACGTCTTGGGCCTTATCAACCAAAATAATTGTTCACTGGAACAATCCCATGACGGAGGAAAGCGTCGGCGTACATTCTGCGCAGAAACTTGGTATAAAAAACACGAATGGTTGTGTTACAGCGAGGACAAAAATGCACTTTTTTGTTTTTATTGCCTACTTTTTGCTACCGCCCGTGACTCACGTTGGTGTAAATTTGGTTTTAGAGATCTTAAACATCTTTCCGAGCGTGCCAGGGATCATCAATCTTCTATGGAGCATCTGGACAATGCAGTAAAATACCGAATATTCGGAAATGTTAATATTGCAGCACAGTTGGATGAAGGACGCGCGGTTTCTATTCGTCTGCACAAAACGTCGAAAAAAATCGCCATGTTCTCGGTCGATTGATAGATGTTTTGAAGTTCATTGGTTGTCACGAGCTGTCCCTCCGTGGGCACGATGAACGGGCTGGCTCTTCTAATAGAGGGGTATTTTTGGATATGGTGGAATACACCGCATCCCTAGATACAGTATTGAGAGATCATCTTGATGCCGCAACTGTTTCGAAAGGGACATCTAAGGATATCCAAAATGATTTGCTCCACTCAATGTATAAAATTTATTTACAACATTTGGCTCTGGAAATTGAGAATTGCCAGTTCCTTTCGATTCAGTCTGACGAGACAACTGACATCACGTGCGTTTCCCAACTGGCTGTGATTTTTCGGCTTGTGAAAGATGGTAAACCTACCGAGAGATTTCACAGCTTTGTACCAATCGATGATCGCACGGCTTGCGGGATATCGGCTGTACTGAAAGAAGTGTTACAGCCTAACAACGCGAAGTCAAAATTGATAGCTCAAACTTATGACGGCGCGGCAGTCATGAGTGGGTCGAAACATGGTGTTCAAGTTTATATAAAAGAAGATTTTCCTCATGCGCATTTTTTTACATTGTTATGCACACCAATTTAACCTCGTTATTAAAAAATATGTGTCTTGATACCCCTCTCGTCCGTATATTTTTTGCAAATGTTTCGGGGTTTTCTTCATTTTTTTCCGTTTCGCCGAAGCGCTCTGACCTCCTTCGCCAGATATGTAGCCGCCGTCTCCCAGCTTGTGCACCAACACGTTGGAACTTCCAATCACGCGTGGTGCAGGGCGTGTCCGAAATTAGGTCTGAGCTCATTGAGTGTTTCAATGGCATTCAGAGCTCTCCGGTTTGGGACGAACGCTCTGTGAGGGAGGCGGCAGGTCTAAAGCGTCTGCTAGCTAGAAGATGGTGAGTTTTCATTTTTTCTCGCTTTTTTCTCCACAATATTCTATCACGTGGATGTATTATACGGCGCATTGCAGTCAAGGCTAATGGATGGAGCGTCTGTGCAGTCGTGTATTTCAGACTTCTGCGATGCTGTATCTCGTATCCGGGAATACGACGACACATGGAGTGCTTCTTTACGCCGCGGGCAAACAACGCAGCGTTTGATTTTGTCTGCAAAGGAATTGACATTCTGGTGAATCAAATAGGCGATCGTCTGCGCACTGAACACCTTGCCGCGTTCTCTTTGATGAACCCCAAAAAATTTTCAAAATTTGCACGTCAGTTTCCCATCCATTTGTTGGCTACTGTCTCCAAATTTTACCCCATGATAAACGTGGGTAAATTGGAAAATGAATTGCGATGTATATACACCAATCAAACTTTTTCGAACATCACATCAACTTGCGCGCTCTATGGGTTCCTCACAGATAACACTCTAGTAACTACCTTTGCGGCGTCTGCAAAATTTCTGGACATCATTTTGACGACGCCTTTTTCTTCCGCCGACGCAGAGCGAACATTCAGCACGCTGAAGCGTATTAAAACGTATCTCAGAAACACAATGAAGCAAGATAGATTAAATTCCTTGGCTGTTTTATCCATTCACAGAGACGTTATTTCTGGGATGCATGACTTTAATCAGCGCGTTATTGAGCATTTTGCTTCCAAGAAACCGCGGCGTGTTGCATATATGTTCAAGCAGTAGAAGT